CAATGGGCAGAGAGAAATAGGATGCAATTTAATAAAGATAAATGTAAGGTACTCTACCTGGGAAGGAGGAACCCCCAGCACACCTTTAGGTTGGGGAGTGTCCTTCTCAGCAGCTTGAAGGCAGAGAGGGATCTTGGAGTCATAATTGACTCCAAAATGAACATGAGCCGGCAGTGTAACGAGGCCATCAATAAGGCCAGTCGCACCTTGTCGTGCATTAGCAGGTGCATGATTAATAGATCAAAGGAGGTGATGGTCCCCCTCTATGCGGCACTGGTCAGGCCGCAGTTGGAGTACTGTGTCCAGTTTTGGGCACCGCACTTCAAGAGGGACGCATGGAATCTCAAGAGGGTCCAGAGGAGGGCCACTCCAATGATTAGTGGCCTTTGTGATCGACCCTACGGGAGAGGTTGAGAGAGCTGAATCTCTTCAGCCTTCACAAGAGACGGCTGAAGGGAGATCTTGTGGCCACCTATAAATTTATTAGGGGAGGCCAACGGGGAATAGGGGAAGCATTGTTTACTAAGGCGCCCCAGGGAGTGACTAGGAATAACAGGTGTAAACTAGTTGAGAATGGATTTAGGTTAGATATTAGGGAGAAATTTTTCACAGTAAGGGTGGCCAGGATCTGGAATGGGCTTCCAAGAGAGGTGGTGCTATTTTGGAGGTCTTCAAGGTTGGAGGTCTTCAAGAAGAAGCTAGATAGTCACCTGGCTGGGGTCATCTGACCTCAGTCCTCTTTCCTGCCAGGGGCAGGGAGTCGGACACGATGATCCATTGTGGTCCCTTCTGACTCTACAATCTATGAATCTATGAATTTATAGCGGGCTCAAGCTGGACAACATGGTCTGTGCTTCCATTACTGCCTCTTGTTTTTGCACAAGGGATCAAAGCTACCCTCTCTAGCCACCAGGCACGGGTTAATGGTGTAGTCTCGGGATCTTCCCAAGACCTGCTGTAATGGGGTCAGGCCCTGTTACTGCGGGGAGGAGTGCATCTGACCTGCATTCAGGCCAGGATGACTCCTCTCCCCCCGCTCCAAGATGAACATAACTGTGTTGCAGCTCCACCGGCCAGCCAGTCGGAAGCCAGAGCAGCAGGCACAGCCCCAGCAGACAGCTCTGACTGGAGGAATGTCCCCCAGGTGTGGGCAATTGGGAACCTGGCCATTTGGCCGGGGAAGAAGTGCCTGCCCCCTCAAGAGTGGGGGAATAAGAGCAGCTCAGAGCAGCTGCTTGGAGGTCTCTCTTGGGGGTAAGAGGCTGGCAATACTACCAGGGGTGCATGTAGATGGTGTGGTCCCTGGACAGGGCTTCCCTCACCCTGCCAAGGCCCTTGGGCTAGCCTTATCCAGGTGAGGGTGGCTGAGGCACCAGTACCACAGCATGGAGAACCAACTGTGGAGACCCCAGAGGACCAACACAAGATAAGTGCAGCCTTTTTCATTTTTATCGTTGCTTTTGTGCTTTCTAGTTGTAGACCCAGGGCCAGGAGCCCAGAGCCTGGGAAGAATCCTGTAGCCTGAGGGGAAAGCCTCACGCTGGCTGCTTGGGGAGGTCAGGGTCCTGGACAGTGGATCCTTGGTCAACCCACCACAGCTAGAGTAAAAGGGGGCAGGGCATGGTAGTACACCCAACACACCCACCAGCACACCTTTGGAGTTGCGGCCGCCCACCTGACTCACACATGGGACTAGGAGCTAAGCCTGGGGCCAGTAAAAGGGTAGCCTGGGGCTGGCCAGGATAGCAGCCTGTTTCTGTCTATTCATAGGGCTTGGAGCAAAGAAAGATCCTAGGCAATAGTGTGCCTTTCCTTCACCAGCCCCTGGGTCTCAAGGCTGCTCCTTGGGGAATGTGTGGGGAACTTTAAGGTGCATGTCCACCCTGCCTTCTTCCCAATTTCAGACTAACCCTGCTACCTCTGCTCATGGGGGATGACTTTACCTGCACTGCCCACTGGGTGTCATTGCTGCTCTGTGTTGGGTTGTTGGGGGGGACTTTACCCCACGCAATCTATTAATGGCAGAATCCTTTAGGGAGAAAATCATCAATAAAGTCAAAGGTGGTGTGTTAACCTTTCCTTTTCCCCACATTCCTAATGATCTGCATGTGCTTGATCTCCAGAGATTCAAAACCTCTTTTGGAGTTGCCTTGCACTTTCTCCTTCATTCAGTCCTACACATGGCACAGCAAACACTCTCCTCCGTGCTTTTGCAAGGCAAATCTTTGTATTCGCTGGGCATGTGTACATATGCAATTAATGCAAAACAATAAACTCTGGTGCTTATTGTGCCAGAGTTTATTTCTTCCCAGGTGCTGCATTTACATGTGTGCCTGGGACCATAGTACGTTGAGTTGGGTTGAAGCAGCCCCAGCTGGCAGGAGGCCCAGGGGTCAGCCTGCCAGCCCAGGGCTGCTCCAGCTCATCTCAGTTTGCTGCGGTGGGACTGGCTGGGGCATAAGGGCGTTCCAGTGCAAGGCAACCCCTGCACTGAAGCACCCTCATGCCCCAGCCAGCCACGTTGGTGTCTACACGTGCTGCTGTGGAATAAAAAATCTCTGCAGCAGGACAGTACTTGTAAACACAAATGCTACCCTGCTGTGGAATTAATTAGTTTACTCCTGCCTAATAGCACTGCATGTGTAGATGCGAGACATTTACTGTGGAGCTAATCAGTGGACTCCTCAATAAATGTCTTGTGTAGACATGCCCACTGTTTTATTGATGAGCCTTGGCAAAAGGAGTTTTTTGGAGAACAGTGAGATAGTTGGGCACTTTCTGTTTAGTCTTTCAGATATTATGCGTCAACTCTAGCAAACGTTATTGTACAGTAAGCTCAAAGCGTTCATGCTCTCACCCTGCATGGGGCTTTAGCCCATGCTCCCTGGCTGTACAAAGGAATCCCTTGTCTATTCAGCCACAGGGCTGGGCAAGTATCACTCACACCCAGACCTTTCCAGTTACAAACGGGAAGTTCTGTCTAACTCGCCTGCCTCACCTGAGTGCCTGGGGCTGTTTCTGCAGAGGCAGGCCTGGAGTCTGCTAGTACCTTACAGGGGCATTTGAGTCTCTTTGTCCTTCACAACACCAGTGGGGAAAAAGAAATTACTCAGTAGGGATTTCTCTTTGTTCAGTAATTTACTGTTGGCAGCCCCAGGGGCTGGGGTCATTATCAGGAAGTCTTTGTAGAATTACAAACAAGTATCAGCTCAACACCCCACCCTGAGACCTGGAAAAACAAAGTCCCTCCCCTATGGCCTGCGACCAGCAATGCTACAGCACTCGTTTGGAAACATCACAGCAGCAGCAATCAGTGTGGAGTCAAACACCTGCTCACACAGGAGCTGGGGCTGTCTTGTGCCTCAGTTTCCAACCCCCACCATGCACCCAGCACAGCCTCCACAATCCCCAATTAAGTACCTCCAAGAAGTGATGGGCGATGCCAGCGAGATGCTTGCTTAGATCATAGGTTCAAAGGCCCCAAGTGCTGCCCACTCCCTGCAAGATCCACTTCTACTCTTCTGCTGCAAATCTGCCACTGGCAGGGCCAGGCTGGGAAAATGAGCAACTTCACACCCTGCTCTCTTCAGCTGACCTCCACTGCACTACCCAGGCATGCTGGCTGGAGGAGCCACCAGACAGGGAAAGTCCAGGGAAGGAAGCAGGACTCCTGCCTTGTCCTCTCGGAGCCAGAGACAGCAATAATCCTCCTGTTCCTCCCCTTCTTCCTGCACTGCTTCAGGGCTTTAAACCCCCTATCCAGAAATTCAGCTCCTTGCTGCAGGGCATCAAGGTCTTGTGCCTCTTAAGGTACCAAGTCCAGGTGCCCTGTGGCCTACACCAGCTTGAGTGCACAGACCTCCATGCTGGGTGACCAGCGCTGGCTGCAGGCAGGGCTGAGAGGAGCCACAGGGGCCTGCACCCTCCTGCTCTGGGAGCAGAGCTGCCAGTTGGGGTCCCAGCCACCGCAGAGGGTTTCCCCACTGCTGAGCCAGCCTGGGTCAGTGTTTGCTCTACCCTGACAAGCTGGTCTGTGTGGAACGGTGCCATCAGTCTGTGTCTAGTGAGCTGCACTGAGGCCAAAGGGTGCTGCAAAGCGTGGTAGTACTCCTGAGTGCTAGGCTAGGTGGGCTGCTTCCCCTTGGGCCTGCTCAGAGGGGGCAGGTAGGTGAGGGCAGGGCACCCTCGCTGGGGCAGATAGAGGGTTCAGGAGGGAGGGCTATAAGGAACCCCCCAAATCCTGTTTGCATTGGGCTCCCTGCTGCATGGGGAACCCCCCCCCCCCCGGCAGACAGGGGTGCAGCTGGGGAAGACGAAAACCCAGCCCTGTGCCTCAAGCATCCCCTGGCTATGGCTGCCACCCCCAGCTGCGCCAGCAGAGGGCAGGGCTCACCTGCAATTCAGGCTCAGGATGGGCTTTGGGCTCCAGGGGCTGGGCTGAGCAGACATGGGGGGGGTGGGGTTCTTTCCACCCCATGCACCCTCTGGGTAGCACCTGAGGGCACAGGGGTCCTGACCTTGCTTGTCCCCACTGGGTATGTATAGCAGGACCCTGCCTGGGTATGTGGGTTGGTTTGGGGAAGAGGCTCTTCCTGCGACACTCGGGGGTCCTGGGGCTACATTGATGATGTAGGGAGGCAGCTCAGATTGCAGTCACTAAGGGAGCTACCCCCACCAGGCTTAGCTGCCCCAGCCGAAGTGCTTGGTGGAGTGACTGTGGTGGAGGTACCTGCCCAGATCCAAGTCCTCCAATCCTTACCCCCTTCTCACTTTGCTGAGGTGTGCAATGCCCCTCCTTCTCCCCCCCCTGCTTTGCAGGGTGCCTGCATGCCAGTAACCTCCAGGGCAGCAAATCTTGCCTTTCCCTATCAGAGCAACTAGCGGGGAGAAGGCAAATAGGTCTGTGGCTCAGGCTCTCAGGCCTCCTTCACCAAGCCCTGGACTGGCTCTCTGCTAGGAGAGGGGTGGCTGGAGTGGCTTGCGGGCATGCTGGATACGCAGCCATGCTTGTCACACAGGTCCTGGCAGGCAGGTTCATGCTCTGCTGGGGTTGCTGCACACCTTGGCACACAGCTCATGTACCAATGCCAGGCTGGTAAGCGCAGGTGCAGGATCAGGGCCACTGTGGCAGGAGAAGGTTTAGTCCTTCCTCTCCACTTGGCCACCCACCCAAGTCTGCCTGCTCACAGAAGGCCACTGCCCTGCCTCTCACCCCTTGGCACCATTCTGGTGGCTTGGTGGCTCCAGCAGAGATAATTAGGTTGCTTTGGATGGACACCAGTGTAACCAGCAGCAGGATTTGGCCTGTTTGTTCCATGCCTGGACTCGCCTGCCCCAGGACCAGGGCAGCTGGCCTGCAGTTCCTCTCACCTGGTGTGTGCCCCTTACTCTGCTGGCCAGTGGCTTGGCTTCTGCACTCAGGCACTGTGCCAAGGGGCCATGCTGTGCTGGGTATCAGGACGCTGCCATGCCTGCCCCAGCTCAGCTCTCACTTCTCACTGCTGAATTGGATCTAGGCACAGAGGTGCCCTGGCTGTCCTGATAATGGAAGCCCTGCTGAGAGCTGCTGGTGCCAAGGCAGGAAGAGTAGTGCCCTGCAGAGAGCAGGTCTGGGAACCATGCCCACTCACCCTGGCGCCAGGCCCTCTGCTTGCCTGGGCACCACTGCACCGACAGCCTCACATGCAGCCCAGGGTCCATGAACTTCCCTGCCTCACTCAGGGACCAGACCCCAGCCACCCTCAGTGACAGGGGTTCAGTCTTGGGGAATGTCAGGGGGCTTGTGGGGGTCTGACTGCAGGCACTGAGAGCAGGCTAGCTCTGGGAAGTGCTGCATTTGGGCTGAGTGGGCACCCCCCTCCCAGAGCAGTGATGAGAGCCGGAGATCTGCATGTACCAGTGTGCACATCTACCTGGAGCCTCATGGGTCAGAGATGTCCCCAGTGCTCAGCACTTGAGTGCAGGGGATGGAGTCCTGCATAGCCCCCCTCCCTGTGCCTAGCAGGTGGGGTTGGGAATGACTCCTCAACACTTGGCTCCAGCCCACTCAGGATCTATAAAAGCCCAGCCAGTGGGTGGAAGCCTGCCCTCCAGATGACTTCTCTGCCAATCCCCCAGCCAAGGGGAAAGGACAACAGATGGATGCCTGCACCAGGAGACCCGAGCCATACAAGCATGAGGTTAGCATTGCACTTGTGGCCAAGTCAGGGAGAACCCCTGGTATCACCCATTTGCAGGCTGCTCTGGAAGGGGTGGATTTGGCTATGAGTGCAGGATGAAGCCCAGTGGGTGCATCCATTCAGCCTTCCCTCCAGGGATGCCTTGCTCAGCACCTTGGCCCCTGGTCCTGCCACTCTGCTCATCTCACAGACCCAAGCCTGCATCAGGAGCTGAACTCTGAGCCCTACAGATATGCTTCTGAACCGCAGCTCTTGTCATCGGATGCAGGAGGAGCCTTTGGAAGAAGGAGCTTTGCCAGATCCTGGCTCAGGGCTGACAGGGGCAGAAAGCAGCTGTTGAAACCAGTCTGGCACACTGGTCAAGACGAATGCACTGTGAACTCGTGTCTGAGCAGCTTTCCCAAGTCTCTTGTGAAGCACCCAGAGGCCTGGGCAGAGGGGTCTCTGCACTGTGACCAAGAGGCTTTGGGCTGAAAGGGTTCACACAGACGGCTGCGGGGTAGGGAAGGGCTTCTGGGGTCTCTTGCTGATGTGTGTGACCTGTCAGACAGAGATCTCTCAGGTGCCTTGGAAATCTCCAGCCCTTGCTGTCTGCTGTGTCTGGCAAACCCCTTACTGATGGGGCCTCAGATTGACCTAGTGGGTCCTGTTTGCTTGTTGTGGGGAAGTGCAAATCCCCACATACAGGCAACCTGTCACAGACTGCCAGCACAAGAGCCCAAGAGCATGCACCATGGAGTATCCGAGCCATGGCCGGGGCTGCCCTGTTCTCAGAGCAAACCCTTCCGCGGGCTGCTGGTTCCTCAGTGAGACACGTTGAGTCAAACCTCTCTGTTATCCATTCCTCTGCTGTCCTCTCTATCTCCCAGCTATCCTAGGAAAAGGCCAGACTAAATGAGGCCAGCAAGCCTTGAGTCTAGGACCTGCTGGGAGGGGGAAGGCTCCTGAGAGCCACCTGCCACCATCACCATATCCTCAAGGCACCCTCCTAGGCACAGCAGAGAAGGGCCTGCACCCCGCACAGAGGACAAACACTAGCTCCATACATGGGCCTTAAGGCTTGTAATGGGCTGAAGCAAAGACTGGGCCTACATTGCTGGCCTTAGGGCTGTTCTGATATGGACCCTGGGGTTCAGGCCCATGCTCACCCCCACCCCCTGCTTGTCCCAGCCTTGCCCCAGGCCCTGGGACCCAGTCCAGCACAGCCACATTGTCCACACGGGTATCAGCCCCTCACATCCATGAGCAGGGCACCATTACCAGCCCTGGCACGCCAGCCATGTGTGCGCAAGCCAGCTGCTAACACAAGGAGAGACTAAGACATAAGCACAGGCTTGGTTTGGGGAGCAGGAAGAGCCCACTGCTTGCAATTGCTTGTGCTGCTCTGCCCATGGGACACAGGTCTGGTGCTGCTTTGAGCTTGAGCGGCAGGGGTGATGCAGAGTGCAGGGCTGAGCTAGTGCCCACCACGTTCTTGCTCCCCTGGGGTTAGACACTGACATGCCATGGTGCCAAGGCTGGTCTCAGCCTCAATGACTCAGAAGCCTCCGTGACTGGGGCTGTGCAGCTCAGCTCTCCACCAGGCCAGTCTTTCCTCGGTGGTGGTGGGACAGCCCGAGCTTGCTGCCCATCCTCAGAAGTCTGCTGGCCGGATCATCATGGTCGTGGCCTTCAGCCTGTGGCTGGGCCCCTTCCAGTAGTGCCATTTCATGCCATTGTACCGGACTGTCGTGGAGCTGGCTGGGTAGTACACCCCGTTCAGGTTGGAGGGGCCACAGGCATCGAACCACCAGCCTGGGGACAGAGTGGAGACATGGATCATTGGCTGGGTGAAGGGGTCCCAGATTCCCCATCCTGCTCCTACCCTCCTGAGGAGGGGAAGGGGAGGTAAGCCAGAGAGGCCCCTCCACTTTGGTTGCTACTAAGTGTGCCTGTTTTTGTTCTAGCCCCCACGAACCTTCTTGATGGGGTTCACTGCATTGCTAACTAGGGTCAAAATATGCCCACGGTAGAGCTGGGGGAACCAGTCCAGAGCTGGAGTGGTCAGAGTGAGGGGGAATCAAGTGGAAGAAGGTGTGGGTGCTGGTGACGAAAAGAGGGGCCTTTGTTAGGTTCCTGCTATGCTGACAAGGACTTGGGCCCAGACTGGAGATGCCTCCCCTTGCCTGGGACCAGAGCCAAGGCGAACCAAGGGCAAGGAGAACCAGGAACTAGTGTGAACAGGCAAGCGTCAATAAGGCCAGGAAATGGTCCTGTTCAGTACCCACAAAGCCAGTAAAGTAGAGCCCCAGAGTGATACAGATGCCAATGGCCCAGGCCACACCCCACAGGGGATGTTACCTCCCGTTGCCATTTGAGCACACTTGCAGCCACATCGGTCGTGGTCAGCATCCTTGGTACTGAAGTCTGTGCCCACGGGGCTGAGGCTGCTTGTCCGCCCGGCTGTGCCGCTGTAGTCCTGCACGTGGAGCCTGGGAAGACACACATATGGGGGTCTCCAGCAGGTGCTTCCAGGAGGGCACCAGTGAAGCAGCAATGCTGGGGTGGGGACCTTGGAAGATGGGAGACCAAAGACAAGGCAGACCTGGAGCATGCAGCAAAACAGGTCTGGATGGAGGCAGCTTCAGAGGCTGTTAGTCTGTGGTGTGTTCTGGGCGAGAGCTGCTTGGCAAGTTGGGAATGCACCTCTCCCAGGTGGCTGAGACCCCAAAGGAAAACCTCATTGGAGGGGTCACTACAAACCCAAAGGGAGCAGCTGCAGATGCCCAGGCATCAGCTTTCCCCATGTGGGGGCAGGTTGAGTCTTTCTGCTTCAAGAAGGCTGGGGTGGGTAGTCACAGAGCACTGAATGATCAAACTGTTCATGAGGCTTACAAGAGGGTGAGAGGGATGGATGCCAAGATGCCCTGCGGTCCAGCTAGCACCCCTGTGCTGCCCATTTCTGTGCCCACCTAGTCCTAGACCCATTCTGCTGAAGCTGCCCAAACAGGGGGAGAGAGTATGTGTCCTGGAGGATGCCTGGGAGCTGTGGCTCTGCAGACAGCACCAGAGATGATGAGAGCTAGTGATGCCACGATCCCACCTTGCCCAGAGCTTGCAATGGGAAGTGCTTTGCATGACAGATCCTCCATCGCTCTCAGGTGCTGCTGAGATGGCTCAAAGTCCTGCTCACCTGTCCCCAGGGCTCTGGAGTGGCGACCTCAGCAGCTGGAGTTTCCAAACCAGTTACCAACACAACCCTCCTAGCACCACCCGCCCCAGAACACCATGCCCTGGGCAGCCCCTGGCCTGCCTCGGGGAGGACCGTGTGCTCTGAAGAGCTGATGTTTGCTTTCCTACTTTCTCACACAATCCCCTCTGCAAAACAAACCGTGCCTGCGACAGGGGATATTTAGCTTGGCACTGAGGTGGGCACCGGCTATTGTTCTCCTCATTAGCTGAGGCTGCAGGTGCTCAGGGGTATGCTTTTATAGGGGAGACAGCTGGCTTCCTGCCTGCCATCAGAGACAAATATTATCACAGACAGATGCCAGAGAGCTGGGACCTGCAGCACTGCAGAAGAATTGCCAGATCAATTATGTTTGGACAAACTTTCCAGGGAAGCAGTGCTGGAGGTCTGCGCTACCCAAAGCCAGAGGGGCTCTGGAGCTCACAGAGGAGGATGGAGTGCAGTGGACCAGGGCTTCTCTCCTCTTCTGACTGCTTCCCTGAAGGAGCTTTGATGGCTGTAATGGGAGTTGAGGAGACAATGGACATGAACTCAGAGGGCAGTAGCTCCCTTTGGGCCAGCCAATATGTTAGACAATATGGCATGAGGACACTAGCAGATCAGGAAGCTCCGTGATCTCTGTGATGCTGCACCTGGGCTGTCTTGGCATATTCTGTGTGGCATGGCAGCAATGCCTGCTGTGGGGTGCAGATGGAGCTGGCTCTGCTCTCCAAGCACTCCCCTGGCCATGGCTCATCTCAGTATTGGCAAAAGGCATATTCTTGGCTGCTGTGTTTACAAACCATTTTATCTCTTTGGCTTCTTTTGCTTGCACAGCATAGAGGGCTGCTGCATCAGCAATAAACCACTTATTAGACACATCTGCCTCCAGAAGGGATTTAAACAAGCTAGGAAGGGAACATGAAAATCTCATCAAGGCTTTGTGAAGTCATGCCCTCCCATCAGAGACAGCTCTGGGGCATTTATCACACTCCAGGCCCTGGCTATTCCTCTCATTTGGTAGCGCTCTTCCCAGCAGTAGTTTCTAGTCTAGACACATATGTTTGACCCGCACAGCTGCTGTGAGCACATGCTGGAGCTGCAGATGAAGAGTCATTTTCCCTTTGATCAAGACCAGGACTGGGTCCATGCTGCCACAAGGCCTGCAGGCTCTCCAGCAGATCCAATGGTGCTGCTATGTATGGCATCCTTCTAGAGAACTCTGCTTTGGTTCACCACGTACAAAATAATTCAATGGGTTACTCCAGGCAGCCCAGAAGTACTAGTGCTCTCACTGCAAGGTCAAAAAGCTGACTCCAGGAGTGCCTGGAAAGCAGAGAGTGCAGCACATGCCGGCTCTTGGGGGGCTATCTGGTCGGAAGGAGCCAGGCTCTCTGCTCTAAATTCTTAGCGGTCGAGGGCAAAGAGCAACAAGGGTGCAGGGTGCATCGCTGCATGAGCAACCTCGGTTCCATGCCTGCTCTGCTCCTTTCTAGGGGCCCCAGTGCTGGGAGCAGGATGAAGCACATGGAGTTTCCCCAAAAGCAAATCCCTGACTAGGGTCTGAGTCAATGTCAGACTCGGGGTTCTGAGAACGGGGATGCTGAAGCCCAGGTGTGTGCTGCTGAACAGGAGAGTGAGGACACCTCCGCAGACAGAGCACCTGGCTGGGGGTGGCCAGGAGCATTAAAACCGAGAAGAAACATCATTGATTGGCTCCAGGGCAGGGCTCAGTGTTCACTCTGAAATCACCTTAGGGTGCAAGGGGACACAAGGGCCTCAGTTGCACTTCAGGAGTCTCCATTCAGTGTCCTGTATGGCAATTCCACGTGTGAATCGCCATACAGAGAGGATGGGAGCAAATGTGGATAAGCTGCCTCCAACAGATACAGGGGCTGCCCCCAAAGCCACCTGGTGAGAGGGAAAGATCATCCTGAAGGCACAAACCTGAAGTAACACAGACCAAGCGAGACTCACCGGTAGTTTTGCTCCTCGCTGCCCAAGTAGAAGTGCTGGTATAAGGAGTAGGCCTCGTTGCCATCCCAGTCCCGGAGCTGGACCCGGAGGGAGTAGGCTCGCTGAGTGGTGAGCTGGTGGATAAAGTCATTGCCCAGCCAGTATTCTCCAGGCGGGGCCCCAAAACCCTGCAGGGACAAAGAGCAGAAGAGTTGGTGAGGCAGAGGAAAGCTAATGAGAATTGGGAAGGAAGCTGGCACAGGGCTCAATCCTGGAGAGTGGCTGCTACTGAAGAAAGCACACGTTACCCAGCTCCTGTTCCACAGTTCCTGTTCCATCAGGGGCTGACCTGGTTCCAGGTGGACCAGAACTGCCCGAGAGGATGGGAGGGTTCATCAGTGGCCTGACTGGTGGGGCAAGGAGCCCTCTCCTGAACCACTCACATGGATGCAGGCTCTGGCTGTTGAGTCAGATTGGAATGGTTCCCAGCACAGTGGTGCAATGGTGCTTTGCTGTCTTTGGACAAGGCTGCAAGATACCCCCACTGGGTTCAAAGGAGCCTAGAAAGAAGCTGGTGGTGCAATGTCCTGCATACTGCAGCAACCGCACACATATCAGCACAGCATGAGTAGCAGATACAAGGACAGCACAGCAACTTCCGTGCTGGGCTCTGCCACCATGCAGAGGTCTAGAACAGCTGTAATCCAGGTCACTGCCCCCATCACTTCCTTGGAAAGGCCAATTCAATTGTCCCATGTCCCCCTGCCATGCTCAGACTGTGCTCCCCAGGCTGTTACAGCAGAGCCTAGGCTGCAAAAAGACAACCCAGGTACATGCAATGTCCCAGGCAGAGCCCACCTGCACAGGAGCCCTGCTCCTGCTGTGTTCCCAAAGCAACTTGGCTTCAGCAGGCAGCACAGGTGAGGATGCACTCCAGAATCTTTTCTCCCAAGGTTTCCAGGCACAGAACCAGCCCTGTGCACCCCTTTCCCCCCTCACAGTTCTAGCCACGACCTATTTTTCATGCCCCTGCAGATGACTCACAGAAGGACTGCAATGACATGTGAAAAAGGGAGAGTGACTGTGTACCTGGGCTGGATGCTCTGCCAGGTCTTTTCTGGCCTATCAGGACTCTCAGGACCAAACCAGCAGCAGTCTGCCAGCTTCAGTGGGGAGATCCCAGACATAAGCGCAGTTAGCAGAGCTGAGCTTGCACCTTTCAAGAGCAGCCCTCCCATAGGACCTCAGCACAGGAGAAATCCTGCCTGTCTGGGCATTGCAGTGAGCAGAAGGGGTCTTTACAAACATGGAGGACCATGATTGCAATATGCCCTTTCCTACAACATACCCTTGGGATGCCCAGCAGCCATGCTCTCCAGTTGAGAAAAGGAGGAGGTGTTTTCTTCACTGCAGCCCGAATCCCACCCCCACAACCTCCTGTCTGTTTCCAAGTTCTCCTGACCCTGCAGCAAAAGCAGCCCCAGGGCCAGGTGCTTGCTTGCAGGGCACAACCCAGCCCAAGCAAGGCAGGGGTGGCCAGCACAGTAGCTCAGCTCTCCTTCCTCCCTCTTCCTCTGTTTGCTGCCCCGCACATTCTACGGCACCCACCACGTGCCCCGTTACACAGCAAGGCAGTCACCTCTGCTCTGCCTTCCTTCCCACTGCACATGGGGCTGCTGGGGAAAGCATGGTCTTGTCATCCAGGGAAATAGCTGGGCTATTCCCAGCCTGTACGGGAAGCCCTTCCTGTCCCTAGGCAAGGAAACGGCAGTGGTCCCAAACCCCTGCAGGCTGAGAAAAGCCTTACTTGTTTATATTCCTTCCAGGTGCGGTGGAAGTCCACAGACCCGTCCTTCCGGTGCTGGATGATGGTCCAGCCTCCTCCGCTGGTCTCCATGTCACAAAAGGCCTGCGAAAGGGACACCATGTTCACGGGGAAAGGGGGGAGGGTGACACAAGCAGCTGTCTCCATGCTCTAACAGACAGGCCATCGGGAGCTCTGGATCCAAGGCAGGGGCCAGGCTGTGATCCTCCATGTGCAGCCTGACCCTTCTGGCTACATGGACATGGTTCTCATTGGGAGCTAGGCTGTGGGCTGAATGGGATCCAGGTCAGACCCATGGGTTGGGAATGGGGAAGGTGTACTCTTCATAAGCACCGTTCTTCAGGGCAGGGGGGCACTCTGCCTTCCAGGACCATCTGTGCATTGCATCATGCTGCCCTAGTCCTGCAAAATGAGTGCCAATTAACGACACCCTCCCCCAACCCCAGCCCACTGGCCAGTTATTGGAACCTGGCGACAAACAGAGACACTGAGGTCAGCAAGGTGACAGGGCCAAGGCCACAGAGTCAGCAATCAACACAGCTGAGGGAGAACAGGCTCGCTTTCCCACCAGCTCCAGCCATTAGACCCCACTCCCCTCCCAAAGCTGGGCACAAAACCCAGGAGTCCCGATTCCCACCCCTCCACTCCAGTCATTAGATCCCTCCACCCACTCAGTTCCTCCTGGACCCTTTGCTGGGCACAAACATAACACTGAAGCACAGGGTCTGCCAGTGCCACTTCCTGGCACATGCCAGGCTCAGGGTGCAATCATAGGGGCCTAGGTGGGGAGATATACAAGGGGCCTGGGCATCTGAAGGCTTACTCTGGTCATGCCTGTGGAGTTGGGGAAGTGCAGGGTGTAGACTCCACTGGTGGCCAGGCCCGATCTGAATGCAGCTGCGCAGTCTTGGAACACCGTCTTCTCATCCTGGGGCACCGGGGAGATGTCTGCAGGGAGCAGGGAAGGGGAATATACTCAGCACAGTCCCTGGCTGCTCCCATCCTAGCCCTCCCCCTCACTAACAGCCCCAGGAGCACCCGTTCCCGCTCTGGCTCTGCACTGTGCAGCAGGCTCCCTGCTGCCTTGGCTGTGAGCAGTGCCGCTCATGGAAAACTAAGCTCAGCAGAGATGAGCCCAGCAGAGACAGCTCCAATGGCACTCTCCAAGCTCAGCGCAGGCAGCAGGGTGGGGAGGGAGCAGGCTGGGCTGTAGTAAGGCACAGCTCCATCCCCAGGGAGGGGGACAAGCTGCCCAACATTAGAGCACTCATGGACTGCTCCAGTTATCTCAGGGAGGGGCATCAGGGGGGTATCACCAGTTCCCCCACCCATGCTTGCCATATGAGCGACTGGGTCTGAGTCTGTGCCCCACCCGTCCCAATACCTCTGCCCATCCCTCCTGCCCCAGGGCACTAACGGTTGCACTGTGAGACCAGCCCCAGGAGCTGGTGCACGGTCTCCACAAGCGAGGCCTGCTGTCTCTGCAGCACTGTGGTGTTGGCCGAGGCTGAGGCGAGGTACTGCTGCAGTTCCCAAATGAGCTGGGCTTGCTGCGACAGGAGGCCCTGCATCTCCAGCTTCTTGGCTTTCAGCCCTTGGAGCTCCTCCTCATGCCTGCCTTCCATGTCCAGGACCTTCTTCTCCAAGCGGCTGTACAGGGGGAGAGAGGACAGGGGAACAGTCTCAGAGAAAAGCCAAGGAGAGGTGAACCAGGGGGGCAGAGCACTAGGCCAGGGCTCAGGACCAGGAGTTGATCTCTGGCTTTGCCACTGGCTTCCTGCATGACCATGGGCAGGTCACTTCATCTCTCTAGGTCTCAGCTCCTCATCTAGGGAGAGCATGAGTCAGGGCAGTACTGGCATCCTGAGTGGGGACTGCAGGGATAAAGACTGGTGAGGCTCCCAGGGAAGTACTTGGACAGACCATACATTTACTGACTTTGTGCCACATGGCAGGAGCAGCCTGTGTGAGGGCACAGCCCTGTGAGTCCCTCTCCTCCAAGCAGCCTTGCAAGGGTCTTTTTTCCCAGATGCAGTTTTGCAACCTGAGGATGTTTAACAGCCATCCTCTTGGGCTCCTCCTCGGGCTCCTCCCTTGGGTGGCATTGAGTGACCCTGTTCCCAAGCCCTGCCAGGGAGCTTGTGGTCTGCTGTTTTCTTAAGGAAGCCCATGTTCCTCCTCCTGCCAGCGCCATGTCCGGATGAGGCCCAGAGACAAGCACAGCAAACCTGGGGCAGCTTGTGGGGCTCGAGGCATTGGCAGGAGTCGGGGAAGAGCCATAAAACCTGTAATGATAAGGAAATGCTCTGGGGTGGCCCCTCTTTGAAGCGAGGCTAATTGGCTGGCTCAACAGGCTCCAGGGCCTGGGGCTGCATTTGTGGGGAACCAGATGAGGTGGATTTACAAGGGAGAATACTTCTGGCAGCCTAAACCTGTGACCTGGAGTCTGGGATGGCAGGGGGTATGTGTGTAACCAGGGTGTCCGACTGACAGTGCTGCTGGAGACTGCTTTGGCTGTGCTGAGGTGTACAGTGCACGGCCAGCTTTGTCACTAAGTGGGGGCCCACAGACCAGCCCCCTGCAAGCAGAGACAACCTGTTAATTTACTGCTGGTGACAGCTCCCAGCTGTCTGCATTTCAGAAGCACGCTCCCACCCCTTCCTATGCCACACTTGTACAAGGGGAACGGGAGACCCATTTGAGTGTGCCGAAAACCACCTCCAGAAACACAGGGGGCAGAGGAGCTTGCTAAGCTCTGGAGTTTGGGGTCCATGTGGCATGAAACAGCCACGGAAACCTGCAGGAAATGCGACAGTTTGGGCTGCAGGAGCCAAGGTTCCCAGCAGAAGGGGAGCCTTACAGTTAGCCCAGCTTGGGCTGTCTGTTCATTAGACAGGAAGCAGTTTCAAAGGAGGCTTTACAGAACTTCCCCTGAAAACTGCGTTTAAGCAGAGGAGGGGAATATGCTGGGCATGGTCACGCTGCCCCTGACACACACAACTCCTGTACGGTGCCATAGGTCCTCAGCTGGTAGGTGAAATCCAAGGACAGGCATGGCTTTATGCCCTCACCACCCTTCCTGGAAGATCCAGTCCCTGGATTCACCAAACCCCTCAGCACCCAGATTTCCCTCTTCCCATGTGGTCTTGCAGGCAGCCCTGAACCCTCTGATCTCCACAGCCCTCCAGTTGCTGCCAGTCATGGTTTTCCTCACCTGTTCTTCTCCTGGAGTTTATTTATTTCCTGTGTCTGCAGCAGCAGCTGTTTCTCCAGCTTCTGGGTGGACAGGGAGTTCTCCAGCATCTGGATCTCCAGCCGTGATGTGTGGTTGAGAACCTGAAACACCGGCCCCAATGAGGTGGGTCAGGAAGGGGGAGAAGAGCGGACTGGGAGTCTCTCTCTGAGCTGGGCAGCAGGAAGAGCAGCCTGCGAGGGGGAAATGCCCTTTGGCCTCAATCTGTCTGGTGTGGAAGATCCTGGGGAGTAGGGTACACGGGCACATCAGGGCCCTGAAGGCAGGAGGCGGCTGAATCCCAAGAGCTCAGGGACAACAACCAGGCCTGACCTTCCCAAAGGGCTTAGCGCCCAGCCATGTTTCAAAAGAAGGGACCAGACCTCTTCATAGCCACAGCACCCCAGATGCAACCACATTCCTTGACATTTGTGAAGTGCCCAGTCTTGGTCCCCTAGAGCTGGACCATATTAAAGCCTCCCACCAGCATTTTGCAGTCACAGCTGGTTGACTGTGCATTGGTTACTCAGGCCAAATCCAACCTTAGTGCGAGTACATACGAACCTCGCCTGAACTCCTGGAGTCACACTCATCCATGCTGAAGGCCATTACCTGTGTCTCCACGTCGGTGAGCTTGCGGGTCTGCTCAGCTGTCTGGCTCAGCAGGCTGGTGCCCATCTCCAGCATGGCAGCTGTGTGGTTCTGCACTGCATGCAGCTGGATTTCAGCCATCTCCATCTTCACGTTCTCCTGGATGTAGCTCTCCAGCTGGGATGGAAAATGCAGGAGAGGGGTCAGTTCTGCATATGAGCATCCACCACCCCCACCGCTGCAGGCCACGGGATGAGATGGGGAGCATGCAATATGCTGACCGCAAGCAGCCAGACTACCTGGACAGACACAAGCCACATTAGTGCTGCAGGAGAATGTGAGCATGATGTGCTGTTTTGGTTGCACTGAAGCCTACCAATCCATTCCCCCTCTAGCCCCATACAAATCCCTCTAGCTATTCCTTTACATACACTTCCTTTCATGTACCCATGCAGCTATCTAGCCGTTGGCTGTACAGGTTGCACCATAAACTGCTGCCCTCCCACAGGTCTCAATAACAGCGGTGTTCATGGCCCCTTAGACTCAGATTCATGAATCTGAAGGGTGGGGCAGGCTCTGCTTAACCTCTGATGCCCCACAATGTATGGCCCTGCCTTCCCCCGGCCCGTTTCACAGACAGGGAGTCTGCAGCACAGAGGAGTACAGTGAAGCAGGGCTCATCATGGTGGTGGCAGGGTTGGGGACATACCTCAAAGAGTATTTCATGTGCTTGTCATTAGCCTGCGCACTCCCTTCTGCCAGGGGGGAGCAGGCAGCAAAACAAAGAGCTTGGGAGGGTGAGAGCATGCCGTCTCACTTGCTTGTCCTCCCTGTATTGTCCTTCAGTGCCTGCTCCCTGGGACTGTGTGTGTTTTGCTTTGCATAAATATTTCTCTCTCCTGACTATATTTATGCAGGTGATGTGCCCTGCACATGGGCAAATAGGTGCATCCCTATGGCTGCTGGACAAACTTCCTTCCATTGTCACACAAGTGAGGCAGGGAGTTCCACCCTTGCACACCCACACGGCTGTCTCTCAGCTCCCCTCCCCAGGGCCCAGCAAGACCAGGTCAGCCCCCCTCAAGCCAGGGCTCCAATACAAGTGCATGCATATTGCTGAACGAAGAGGCTCCCTGGTTAGGGGCTGAGCATTTTGGGACAGCGATCAGCTGTTCACTCCAGGTCTCTGTAGCACCTAGCAGGGTGTGGAGCTGATCCCTTACTGGGGTCTTAGGCTCCAGTACTGGGACAGTGCTCACATAAATCCCCCTCTCCTGTTAGCCAGTATCTCCCTCTTCTTCTTCTTACAAAGTTCAGTTGCCCTTCAGTGTCTGCACTGCTATACTTCCTAGCTCTGTGAATGCCTGAAATAAAAAATCCAGCCCTCTCACAAGGAGTGCACAGTCCAAGCAGATGACTGAGTTGAAGGGGGCCCAGTATGGACCAGCATCTGAGCTGGCAAAGCTGATCTTTCAGTTCAGCCCCTGCTTGACAACTGGAAGCTCCCAAGTTCACCTCTCTCCCAAACCTGAGGCCTCAGCCAGGGATGGATGCTAGATTTGGTACAAGCATGACCTAAAAAGATACTCTAGGGAAGAGCTATGAGATGTGGCTCATTTAGAGCCTCATTGCCTGCCCTGAGTGCATCCAGGTGCCGACTGATGCAGCCCATGTGGCTCGAAGGGACTGCAACCAGGAGCTCTTATCTCTTACAGGTTGCAACTCAGCTCTCACCCAGAGCCCCTGCGTTTGTGCCCTGATGGGCTGCTATGACCGACTCCACACTCGCCTCACTAGAAGTATGCTGGGGGAGCCAGGCCCAAGCCCATGCTGCCCACGGAGAGACAAGGAGGAGCTGTGGGGGCCTGGCATCCCAGAAACCTGCCTCATCTCCATGGGGGCACAGCTAACCCCAGACCAAGTCACCCCTTGAGTCCCATCTCCACCCTTCCACAGTGATCTGGCTTCCTTCCAAGGTCAACTGTGAGCAGCCCGCCTTGCTGTGGCTATGGGGCTCCAACAGCCCCAAGCATACATGGCACTACTTGTGTCCCCCTGCCCTCCATCCCAGCTGCAGCAGTTTAATGGGTCCTTCATTAAGGGTCAGTGATTACTGCACTCAGGAATGTTCCTGGGAACTGCGGGGCAAGTCAGAGGAAGCTAAGGTTCAGGAGGAATTTCCCCAGGGAAGGCTCTGTGGGATCTGCTTCCTGCTGCTTAACAGGAGGACACCAGACTATGCTGGGCAGGGGCTGACAGGCCTTTCCGTGTGCTTTTTGCCACAGACCCAGGCTGGCAGCATGGTCAGGGTGCTCCATCAGTGAAGCTGCAGCTGCAGCAAGGTTCCTGCCTCTGGGCCAGCATCCCTAACAGGGAACTAGAAATAAGGGCCCAATCCCTGGCCCAGTCGAAGCAGAGCATGGACTGCAGCAGACATCCATAGGCTTCAGATCAGGTCCTCAAAGAGCAGAGGCAGAAGACACCCCCTTTCAGGGTTCAGTCTTGCCCAGGGACTATCCTTTGGAAGCCCAACCCCAGCCGCCCCCAGTAGCACTGGGTATTCAAGCATGGGAGGCTGACAACGAGCTTCAGCTCACCCCTTGCCTGCTGGAGAGCAGGATGTTTCCCCCTGTACCCTGGGGTAGTCACAGGATGGACAGCATTACAACCACACTCATACATGGAAGGAAGACACCTCCAATCTCCTGCATGCTAAGTGCCTGGTTCCTTCAAGGAAGGAGGCAAAGCTGGTAGGGCCCCAGCTCAGATGAACCACAGTATTCAGGGACTCCATGAATGGAAACGCTGTGTCTGCCTGGGGGCTGTGGCCATGTAAGGCAATATTAGTGGGTCAGTTGGAAGAGGCTGGCTCCCACAGGCCAGCTCCTGCAGTGAAGGAGAGCTCGGTACACAGCTGTCAAACCCCAGAGCACTCTGCTGGTGGCTCCCTCGCTGCACAGGCTCCCCTCCTGCTCAGCAGCCTGTCAGGCTGTCACACCAGCCCCATGCCTTTCTCCTGCTGATCTGCAGGAACTCATCTGCATGCCGGTTCATTTAGGCAGTGACAGGCTTGCCCAGGAGCTGTCAGCAAAAGGGAGAGGGCAGATCCATGATGCTGGAGAGAGACCAGACACCTGAGGGGCTGGAGGGGGAGGCCAGGAAGGGAGGATGGAGCTGATTTTCACTTGGCACTTGTTTGATCTGGACCTTGTCCACAGGGACTAGAAGCTGTGACCCTCCTGCTGGGTGTTCAGTGGCCCATGCATTGCAAACTTCCAGGTCTCAGGCAGGCTCTCCATGGAAGCAGCACCCACATGATAGCAGAGCTCCCCTAAGGTTGTCATCACCTCTGCAAGCCAGCCAAGAAGACAGGAGAGAGGCTGAGCTTTCAGCTGCTTCCTGCCTCTGCTCTGGGCTCAGCGGAGGGCTGCAGTGCAGCTTTGCTTCTGGAATAACTTTTCTCCTCGGTGACTGCTCTCCCTTGAGATGCCTCTGCCGATGAGGATGTGCGTGGGAATCCTGCCTAGCTTCACATTGGGAAACAGATGCTTCCATTTACAGCTCCTGCCATGGAAGCATGTGCATGAAGCTCTGAGTTCCTGTGTCTGGATCTCTAGGGGCAGGTGTCCCAGCAGGGGTACGGATGGCAGGGTGAGGCAGCACCTTCCAGCCACTGCCACCCCAGGGCAGCCCCAAGACCTCCAATGTGCAGCTGAGGCCCAAGGCTTTGAACTCAACTCAGCACATTTTTGTTAGACCATGGTCTTGTGTGGGGTCAGCTATGATCTCCGCAGTGCCAGTTACTGGTGCCAGGCCTGTAACATCAGTGTTTGCACGGAGGCCGAGTGATCTGCCCCAGTACCAGCAGCCCCCAGGACATGCTGACATTGGGTGGGAGGGGGGAAATGAAGGTGCTGCAGTCCCCCCAGCTGCGTGCATAGCCTTGTGTGGTCTGGCGGGAATGCCAAGCCCAGCCCACATCACTGCATTGCTCTGCCTGTGCCTCTGCTGCACAGATGGAAGAGACTACTTATTTCGCTTCTGAACTATGTTGAAAGGCCTGTCTCTGGAGAGGCAGGACAGCTCTGGCTTCACGGTCACTTGTTTGGCTTGGAAAGAGATTAAAAAAAGAAAACATAAGTCACCAAAAGTCATCAGGCCTGATGAGTTCCATGTAACCCAGCGAGCACAGTTCAGAACCAAGGCAGCCCCCACCCCCTCACCCCATCCTCCCTTCTGCACAGCACTGGGGGGAACTGTTCTTTCTCTGTCCCAGAAAGATGAGACTGATCCTGGGTGCAACAGGCATGGCAAACATATGCTTTGCACTGTCCGGCTCAGCTGTTTGAGCCACTTTTCACGAGAGGGGCTGCTGGCCAGGTTCCCCGATCTCTCCAAAAAGCAGCCAAGTGATGCCTGCTTGCCTGCTGCCAAGTGATGATCAAGGATGGAGTAGCACCTGCCACCCAGCTGAACGTTTCCTCTGAACAAGTGGGACTTGTGCAGAGCAGAGCAGCATTGCCCCAGCCACAAGAGAAGTACTGAGAAGTCAAAGCCTTCCGCAGGAAGTCTCTTGCTGCCATTCAAAGAGCATCTTCTAGTGTTTAGTGCCATGTTCTGTCTTATTAGGGAAATGGGAAACCTGAGAGGGCCCAGGACCTAAAGACCTACTGGAATCCAGATGGCAGGAACCTGTGAAGCCAAGCAAACCCCAGGGAGATTCAGAAACAAAGCATGCATATAGGTTGCATGCCAGGTCCACCTGGCACTGCAAGGACTAGCTGGCCTCATGAACCCCACCAATTATCAACTGTAAAATAGTAACACCCAGAAAGCCCAGGCGAAATCAGGGTCTCATGGCACTGCCACTACACATAGCAAGAGACTATCCTTGTCTTAGAACAGCTTTGCCTAAGCAGATGACTGGAGGATTGGAAAAAGCAGCGATCCACAACACAAAGAGAAGTGACTTGATCATGATCACATGGGGCGTCAGTGGCAGAGACAGGAACTGAGTCCCAGTCCAGTGCATCAACCACCTCCTCCCCCCCGGCCACTGTATTGCAAAGCCAAGCTTCCTTAGACACAAAGTCACCAGCCGGCCACTCCCTGCAAAAGTCTGTTAGCTCTCCCAGAAGCAGGGCACCCTGGATCTTTTAAACCTGGGTCTGGTTTGTGTTACTCAAACCCACCAAAATGGTCCTGAAATGGCCAAGCCTTGCTGTTTCATATCCTTGAGCAGTTAGGAAGCCCCAGCTTGGGCTGGAAGTGTAATAACACAGCCAAAAACCCAAAGTACTCCAGGTGCAAGCCAGATTCCAGCTGGTTGTGACACTGGGAAGCAGGGCTGGAAACAACCCCACGCAGCAGAGCCTGTGCATGGAAAACACCATGACAGCTCCAGATACAGCCACATTGGTGGCACTCCACTCCCGTCACGTGC